TATAACAGAGGATACAGAGTCTACAAGGTCTCACTATGAAGATTGGATTCGTAGTGATCCTCCTGTTTTTAGTCTCCCAAGTGCTGGGGTTACAGACGCACGCCACACTCAGTCTCAATTGCCCATCTCAGTGGGCCCCAGAGGCGGGGCTGGCACCGCATGCTAGGGATCGAACCTCAGTCCCTGTGGTTGCCTAAGCAGGTGCTTTAATCTGCTGAGCTATCTGGCCAGCCCTTTCCTCCCTATTTATCTTAGTTATTTTTGACCTTTCCATCTCAAAGGGAAGGTCTCCCTCTGCTTTTTTACTCATCCTTCGTCTCTCCCTTTTTCTCTGTCTCTGTCTGTCTCTGTCTCTGTCTGTCTGTCTGTCTGTCTGTCTGTCTGTCTGTCTGTCTGTCTGTCTCCTTTTGTGTTTCCACTTCTACCTCCTAATTCTTCTTGGCCTTTTCTTTGTCTGTTGCGCCCCCCTCCACACACACAGTGACCACAGGCCCAGGAGCACAGAGAGCCTGCAGTGAGCCCCACCCATCTGTTTATATTTCTCTACCCCTCACCTCATCTAAGGCTCGCAATCCGGGCCCCTCCCTGTGCTCCCTGTGGAGCAGGGGAGGGGGGATAAGAGGTAGGGGGTGGGAGGGTGGGGGGGGTTCCATAACCAAAATGTAGGGAGAGAGGCCAAAGGGGATGCCTTGCTGGGAGTCACCCAGCAAATCAAGAGAGAGCAGGTTTGACTTCCCCAGGCCCGTGGTATACTTCTGCAGGGCCCTGCAGCTGTGTTACTTCCCCCAACCTCCCCATTGCAGGGGCCCTCCTTTTCCACTGGCCTGCAGCAGCCCCTCCCTGTGGCCTTTGGAGCTGGCACTCCCAGCCGTACCCTGGAGACTCCCTGTGCTGGGAGGATAGGATGGGCAGTTCCTACCTCCAGAGCATGCTGTGTTCATTCAAAAACAAATAGATACTGAGTTTACTATGTGCCAGGCACAGGGTGAGACAAGGGAGAGTGTACTCATGAGAGGGGGTTGGGGAACAGAGAACACTGGCCTGCGGAGAGGGGCAGTGAGGAAATTCATTCCCTAAAGAATGGGGTCTTGGCAGCCTGGGAGAGCTTCAGTGGGGCTAGCTTAAGTTGGGTCCTGGAGAAAGCCATTGCCAAAACAAAAGTGCAAGAGATTTATGGAGGGAATGCTTGTGAAAGATAAAAGGAGAGGAAGCAGGACTGGGTAGGAAAAACCTTCAGACCATGTTTCAGTGCTGACATTTATGGGAAGAAGGGGAAGGGAAGGAAGTTGGGTAAGAGAAGTCTCATATTGCAGTGGCACTCTGCAAAAGTGTCAGCCAGCCAATGGGGAGCTCCAGTGCAGATTTCCCATAGAGGAGTTCCAGCTGGGGAAAAGAGCCAGGCCCTAGTGACCTACTTGTGGCTAGTCATTGGCTGGTAGCTTCCGGAAAGAAACAGTGGTCTCTGTTCCAGTGTGCTGCAGTTCCTGAAGGTGCTGCTCCTGGAGGCTGTCAGTGAGCGAGTCTGTCAGCTGCTAACAGCTATGCATCTGTACACTTAGCCATCCGTTTGACTGGGGACAGAGAAAGAAAACCAATGAGCAGAGGAAGCCCATAAGACAATCTTCCCAGAGACCAGGCTGTGGAGCAGGTATCTGTAGGTTCAAGACCACACCTGTAAGATTCCCAAGTATGCTAAACTAGTAGAGTGCTTGCATTCATGCAACAAAAATTCAGCCTCTAGCACATGTGGTCTCAAGTTAAGTCCTGGGTCTCAGGGAATGAAGAATGAGAGCAAGCTAGCCACAGTAGCACCAAGACACTGTTCCCAGCTAATCTAGAGGCTGGAAGTGGCAGTGTATGCCTGTAATGAATCCCAG